CGGAAACAAGCCGATCTTGTCAAGCTCGCCTCAGAACACGGTGTTGTCGATCTACTGCCATGGACCGTCAAGAAGCCCGGCGAGAAGGAAAGGCGGAGGGTAGAAAGAGGACTGCAAGTCAAGGGCACAGGCGAGGGACAGAAGGTCAAGGGGAAGCTTTGGGAGCGAACGCTGAAGGGACGCTTGGAGATGAGGAGACAGGCCATGTTGAACATGCCGGCTTTGATCCAGGAATGGAAGCAGAAGGGACATGGAAGAGGTTGGAAGAAGTGGCCCAGTGGAAAGGCGAAGAAATAGAGTATCCCGCTCAAATGTACAACATTATCGACACTGTTCTCTTCTTCCATGTAACTAGGTTTAGACATGGCTCGGTTGGTTAATCACAAAGTAGTGATGCCTGGGTATCCTACTGACTGAACTATCTCATCCTTGACAGACCTCCCACGTTACTGCTCGTATGTACAACTAGTTCTGGGTATAATATAGGAAACTCGATATGCACATATGCATGCACACGCTTAACAATCCATCCTGAGCTATCCTCGAGGTCCGGCATAATGAGACGACGCTTCACATGACCATCTCCTCGTCGCCATAACCACCCTGCAGCCCATACTCCCGTGCATATGCGTATGCTCCGTAAGTGTTCTCCATGTCAGCTACGCTGCCAACATTCTTCTGCCAGAGACCGTTGCCGCCAGTGTTGTTGTAGACTGGATCGGTGGCCTGGTTGTACTTGGTCGACCCCTTCAACGCATTCTCGCCTCTGCATGATTCTTCATACTCGCGCCTAGCCATCATCTCGTAGCCTGATGCCATGTATGGTTCAGCGCTTGCTGCTGCCATGCTCTGATCCAACTGCTGCTGGTGCTGCTGGATAGCCTCTTGCTGGGCGGACTCCTCTTGTTGTCTCTCGTATCTCAGCTTAGCCATGGCTTCCTCCTGTGCGAGACTGGTGGGTGGCCAGTCGTAAAGCTGTCGGGACATGTTGTAGTCTACGCCCGCTGGGTGTCCTTGACGACCTGATGGAGGTGATATGCGCCAGAGCTCGAGGAGACGTAGCCGCTGATCGTCGTCTGCATTCTGGAAGAGATCGATCTGGGAAGGGAACAGAAGAGAAGGATCAATACTGTTCCTCAAAAGTACGGCAGCGAGGTCCGAAGATTCGATGTGTGTCTTCAAGGCTGGCTCGGAGGTACTGCGGGTAGGTACATGATATGAATGAGTGTAGTGTTGAGAAGCGTAGACGATTTGCTTGGGAGCCTCTTCTTGCTGTTGCTGTTGTTGCACTGGTTGTTCCTGTTGCATCTGTGGTTGCACGGGCTGTGGGTTGCCTTGGGACAAGTTCATGTTTGCTGAGAACAGCCGAGTAAGTTCATCCTGTTGCATGTTTGCGTCTTCTGCTGCTTTCCCCTGAACGTTGATGCCCGTAGATATTGTGCCGCACTATGACGTAACGTTAGTGTTTACCAGCGCCGAAGACGAACGAGCTTACATTTGCGCAAGAAATGTTCTGAGAAAAGGCGTAAGGACTGAATGAGATGGGCGTGTCGTGAGTGCAGTCGCAGTGGTGCAGGAGCATGGGCTGCATGTCCTCTAGGGTCTCAACAGCAAGCGGATGAGGGGCAAGTTCTGGAAAACGGAGGTTCAAGTATTGTATTAGGCGGGGAGTCGACAAAGGCGCATACAGTGATGGACTATATCGTTGAAAGACCTTGTAGACTCGAGCTCAGAATTCGCCGTTGGCTAGTATATGGAAACTTGGAATCGTACTTGTCCGCGCTTGCGTTGGGCGCTGACGACAATCGGCGGGGGATGACAAAGGGTGCCTTTGTGAGTCAAGACCAAACAGAAAGGTGTTCAAATACACTTGGACCAAGTCAGCAGTGAAGAGGGGGCAAGAAGAAAATTAGCAGCAGCGTGATGGTGGTTCTTTATGTACCGTTGAGTATAGCGTGCTGTCGGGGTCATGCGTGTAGGCGGGATGATTCTGATAATTTTGTCGCCCACATCCAATTAGTGACGAAGCTGAAACCCAACCTGTCCGGCTAGTCTGCTGGTAGCCAATGATGTGTCTTGAGAGCTTGCAAATAGTGGTCGATTTGGGACGACAACTCATCAAATGTGTATGGGCGTATGCACTTTTGGATGTGAGGTGCGGGCAATTGGAGGCCCAGACGGAAGAAGCCGGGACAGCAGGCAGCGAACACACCGGTAGCGCCAGCAACGAGGAGGCAGATCGCACCAACAGTCCTGGACGAAGCAAGGAGGATCGAGAGTTGCAATGCTCGCGAGTTGCTGTTCAAGTACACGGGTCGATGCCTCTAGGTGTCGGCCTTGGCACGCACGCGCGCTAGTGAGCTACCTGGAGCTTGCGCAGACACACCATTGCCTAGAATCATCAACACCGAGACACACAACTGCCAACCTTTGATAGTCCCGTAATCGTTTCCCTAGAATCTGCGGTCCATCTGATCGCTCGGAACACACAAAGCGCCCTTCTCAGTCTCCACACCGCCCACCATGGTAAACACCCCACCGTAACAGCTGAAGCACCCCAGTCGATCTAACTATGGCGTAGACGTCAATAGGTACAGGTTACGACCTGTCCAACTCGGTCTTCTCGCCCGACGGTCGAAACTTCCAGGTCGAATACGCGGTCAAGGCGGTAGAGAACGGTGGCACAGCGGTCGGCATCAAGTGCAAGGATGGCGTCGTACTCGCTCTGGAGAAGCTCGTCAGCAGCAAGTTGCTCAAGCCCGGCGCGAACAAGCGGATAGCAACTGTGGACCGCAACATGGGCATTGTGTCTTCCGGTCTCCTCCCCGATGGTCGCCACTTCGTCTCCCGCGCCCGCGACGAGGCAGCCCAATGGCGGCAGCTTTACAAGGCACCCATCCCCTCCTCGTCTCTCGCCGACCGCATGGGAAGCTATGCCCAAGCGTATACCCTCTACTCGAGTGTCCGTCCTTTCGGTATAACTGCAATCCTTGCAGGCTGGGACTCCGAGGCCGAGCTACCAGTAGATGGCCAAGTTGGTTCAGGGCCTACTGTTGGCTCGGGAGGCAAGAAAGAAGGCGCAAAGCATGGTGGGCCATCGCTCTACATGATCGAGCCCAGCGGTCTATACTGGGTATGGAAACCTTTGTGACCTAAACATGTCCAACAACTAACGTGCACAGGGCTACTACGGTGCCGCTACAGGCAAGGGCCGCCAGGTCGCCAAGTCAGAGCTCGAGAAACTCAACCTCTCCGAGGGAAATCTATCACTAGAGGAGGGTGTCAAGGAGGCAGCACGCATCATCTACGTCGCACACGATGACAACAAAGACAAGGAGTTTGAGCTTGAGATGACATGGATCAGCAGTCTCGACGGTCCTACCAAGGGCAGGCACGAGGAAGTGCCCAAGGACATCCGGGAAGAAGCTGAGAAGCTGGCAAAGAAGGCGCTGGAAGGAGACGACGATGATGACGAGGAGGAGGAGAAAATGGAAGAGTAGACGACGACTGCATAACACCGCGTAGACGGTCTACATGCATAACGAGCGGCTCTCACTGCCTTTCACGATCAATGAACAACATTTACGAAAGTCAAGCACTAGCACTATCATCTTCTTGTTCGGCCCGCTTCTCAAGCTTGCTTCGTCGCTCCTGCCAATTCTGGATTGACAGTTGACTGCGTCATCGACGATTCCAGATTCGCCATGCAGGTACATCCGCCCCACTAGCGCGTCACCCTGCAATCCGATTTTGAAAACCATTCAACAATTCCATCCATAAGTATCTTACGTCACGCGTCTATCCCACCATCCAAATACGCTCTTCTTATCCAATTGTAATATATCATCATGCCGCCAACTCTCATACTCATTCGCCACGCTCAGGCACAACACAATGCCACCAGCGACTGGTCCATCAGGGATCCTCCACTCACTGAGCTGGGCGAGCAGCAATGTCGCGAGCTACATGAGAGTCTGAAAGAGAGCAAGATCGGCAATGAAGTTGAGCTCATCGTTGTCAGCGCTCAAAGGCGGACGCTCCAGACTGCTACTATCGGGCTGGACTGGCTTATCAAGAAAGGCACCAAGGGTAAGAGCAATGTCACCAAGCAAGACATGTTATGTATATGTGACTAATAATGATATGTACTGCAGTAATCCCAGACGCGAACTGGCAAGAAAACGCAGACAAGCCGTGTGACATTGGAACACCCATCGACGAGATCTCCAAGGAATTCCCACAGTACGACTTCTCCGTCGTAGACCCTTCGTTCCCAGACAAGACAACTGGCGGATCCAAGAACCCGTACGCTTTCACCGAAAAGGCCATCCTGGCACGTGGACAGAGATGTCTCCAGGACCTCTACTCCCGCCCCGAGAAAGTCATTGCTGTTGTCTCGCATTCGGGTTTCCTGCGCACAGGTGTATGCAACCGCATGTTCTTCAATGCCGACTGGCGTGTGTTTGAGTTCGACGACGAGGAGATGAAGAAGAACGCTGGGTTCTTTGTGTTGAAGGAGAGCGAGGAGACGGAGAAGAAGGGTGGCGGTATGGGTCGTAGTGATGTTGGTGTCTTTGGTATCGTACCTGGTGACTTCCCGCCTGAGGTTGAGGAGGAGATTGCTACGAATAAGGCGCAAGTTGATGATGAGGCTACTAAGCAGAACCCTAGTGCTTGAGCTGGTTGATTTGTAGTTAGATCTAAGAGTCGCGTGTTGCCGGACTACATGGCATTGGAAATTTGCGATCACTTAGAGGGTAGACATTGTGTAGACCATAGAATTTAGTGAATGTCAATGAAGACAATCAATCTATATCCACTAATGTGGTCTGAGCATATTTGATGCCTTCATATGCATGAGCATGGTGCTCTTGTGTAATACCAAGTGGCACATAGAGCGCCCACATCAGGCCCCTCGGAATACCTGTTCAAACCCCCGAGCCTTTCTTTGGCCGGCCGTCTCAACACCCGGTATGGCCATCTTTCGGGAACCATCCTTATCAACCCGCCCAAGAAACCGGGAGATAGGGTCGGTACTGTGCATGCCTCCCATCGTACGCTTCTCTGAACCCAGACATAGCCGCTTCTTCTGTCGCCCCTGTGATCGCGAGACCGATAGCCTGCCCAAAGAGCAGATACAGCTCCCTTTTTGCCTGGTCCAGTCCTTGGAGACCAGCAAACGACGCATACTCGATGTAAAGATGCTGGAACTTGACCTTGACAATCTCAAGACCTGGCTGTCGTTGACCAAGCGGTAGTGGCTTCAGGGTCCGGCGTGCGGCTTTCCTTGGAGACGCTAACCGACGAAACTGAAGCAGAGGTGTAATCCATTTCTCGCGCAGGTTGACCTGTCGACGGTTATGATGAAGCTCTACACAGACCTCAAGTTCGCGTAAGCCAGTAAGCTGTTTCGAGGCGGCCTCGCAAGCTCGCTGCCTGAAAGTAAATACGGTGTTAGTTACTTCTGCGTGTAGCATACCAGATAATGTCCAAGTCCGTCACTATCGCAACCATACTTACCAACTTTGATGATGCTTCTCTTGCCAAACCACGTCCACGGTCTTGTTTGGATTTCCATAAGTGCTGTAGTGGAGATGCAACCTGGTGATGCTTCCCAAGTGGATGGACGAGGCATATTTGAAGAAGTTTGTCATCCGCTTTGGCGCGTCGAAGACAAAAACTGTGTTTTGGTAGAGCAACTTCGCTGTCTCTGCATAGACTTGCTTGCAAACAAGATTTAGCGCACATAGCGACCCCGGCCAGTTCGTTCGCAGGCCCTGAACAGCGTTGTATTTGCCAAGTGATCTCGAGAAGCGAATCACGACAGGAGGAGTCGCGTTTATCTTAGGATCAGGCGCAGGAGTCGTGCTCTTTGTAGCGATTACATTTGATGACAACTTGACAGTCTGTGGCTTCCGCTGCGCGAATTTGGATCCTTTGCTGGCGATCTCACAGCGACGCTCCGAGTCGAAGTAGTAGCCGTATATTTGGTTTCTGATCTCACCGGGTAAGGCGAGGAAGCCGCGCATCTTTTTGGGCGGAGACCCTCTCGGCTTGTGAGCGCGGGAGAAGAGACTGGTACCCGTCATGACCGCGGGGCTGACAAGCTTGGAAGCTTGCAAGACAATGTGTTGCTGTGCTAGTGAATTAGCCGTAAATGTTTGTTAGCAAGTATCAAGATGCCACCGAGCTGGTGATAGTCTGTGTCTGTATTGGAACCATGGAACATTGGAGGTGGAGCCTGGGTGCCTGGGCCCTGATATCGTACGTGGACGCTAGTCGCGTTTGGGCTAGTGACCAGAGCAACTGCGGGCAGCCACGACAGTCGCCCCTGCTGCATACCGCCATGTTAACCATCATGTCTTCGCTAATCTCGCGCCAACGTATCCTCCTTCGCCAGCCTCAATTTCCTGCAGCTCGCGCCTTCTCCTCCTCCAGGATAAACGCATCTCGCCTCCGTCAACCCGGCGAACCAACCGGCCCGAACGAAGTGAGTAGAGATCATACAAAATATATGCGACGCATACACTGACCTCTTATCTCAACCTCTGCAGCCTCCGACACACATCCGAACACCTCCCTCGAAATCCCCACTCAAAGTCTGGCCCATCCTCGCGATACTGGGATTAGGCACATACCTGTTCAACGCGATAATTGATCAGCGAAAAGGCGAGGGATACCAACCCAAAGGACCTATTCAAGGCCATTCCCCCAGCGGCAAAGGACAAGTGAAGCCTTCACATCCCCACTAGAAAGATGCCTGCCATTGAGAAGACTGCCGCGGGCTCGCGCGAGTCTCCCCGCTGGTCCAGCGATGAAGTGACCGTCCTTTTCGTCCTTGGTGGCCCCGGTGCCGGAAAGGGTACGCAATGTACGAAGCTCGTCAGTGACTATGGCTTCAAGCATCTCTCTGCTGGTGATCTGCTGCGCGAAGAGCAGAACCGCGAGGGCAGCGAGTTCGGCGAGATGATCAAGACGTACATCAAGGAAGGCACTATTGTGCCCATGGAGGTCACCGTTCAGCTGTTGGAGAACGCAATGGAGGCCAGCATGGAGAGCGGAGAGAACCACGGAAAGCTGTTCCTGATTGATGGTATGATGACCCATGCAGCTACTTTCCAGTCAATGGTCTAACATGATAGGCTTCCCGCGCAAACTCGACCAGGCCCACGCTTTCGAGCGCTCCGTCTGCCCTTCCAAGTTCACCATCTTCTTCGAGTGCTCCGAAGCCGTCATGGAGAAGCGACTTCTCGTTCGCGGCGAGACATCGGGACGCGCTGACGACAACCTTGAGAGTATCAAGAAGCGCTTCAGGACATTCGTGGAGACAAGCATGCCCGTGGTCAATGAATTCGAGTCACAGGATAGGGTTGTCAAGATCAACGCAGAGCAGGAGCCTGACCAGGTTTACCGGGACGTTGTGGAGAAGCTCAAGGAGCGTGGCGTGAAGCCCATCAACATCACCTTTGTGCAGACACAGGCTTCATAGTCTATAGGGAGACGCCCAAGAATCAATATATCTGAATTGCATTGTCTATCATGCAGCTCGAGGGCTGCTGTTCATGAACCTGAAAAGCCTCATAATGCATCCGTCCCAAGCCGACCCCTTTTGAAAGAAAGAAACGCGCACCAAGACGACGTAACCACTTAGTCCATATCGTCATCAATGGCCCTCTGCTGCTTCCTCTGTCCGCCCCTTCCGCCGAACCGCGACGCCATATCGGCCTTCTGGTCGGCCTTGTTTGCTTCCTCCTCCTTCTCCTGCGCGAACCTCTGCTTCTCCTGCTGGATGACCTGCAGAACACCTTGCAGACTGTTTCGCCACAAATCTAACCTTGAAGCTACCTCTCTCCACTGGTTGTCGCCAAAGACGCGGTATGTTGAGCGGTGGATCAGGAAGGTCTGGTTAAGCTGGCTGAGCTTGCCCTCAACGAGACCAGCGCGGATCACGTCAATGACCCACATCTCGACGTCCTCGGATGGTACTTGTAGTGCCTTTGCGATCCTCTCGTAAGGTAGCGACCTGGCTTGGCCCGCTGAAGCAGCCATGGACGCAAGGGTGAGGAGGCGCATCTTGCGGTTCAAGGCACCGGCGTCAAGGCCAGACTCCTCAACCCAGCCATCGTGCTCGTCCTTGAAGTCGTTGTAGTCATCCAGGAGATCAGAGTTGAAGATTTCAAGGAGCTGGAAGTATATGGGGTCGGAGTTACGGAGGGCCTGGATCGAGTCGAGATCGGTGAGATCTTGGAAATCGAAGTGGGTCGGGTGTGTGAGGGCCGACTTGAGGGCGCGAAGAGAGAGCTCGCGAGCCTCTGGGGACGAAGCCTGCTCTGAAGGGAATGTCCTGAGTGCGCGTAGCAGATATGTGTATGCCTGCTCCTCTTCGCCTGCGTCCGATGCGACGTCGCTTACAGCAAGGTAGAGCTTGCGCGAATCCTCCTCCCCGGTCTTCCATGCGGCTATCCAGCTGTCGAGCTGCTTGAGTTGTGGTCGCAGTGTCTCGAAGTTTGATGTGGCGCGAATGACACGGAGAATGGCAAGGAGCACGTGGTAGCGCGTCTCGCTGTCGGGCTGGGTGGTGTTGAAGATGGTGCTGAGGATGGAGAGCGCAAGACCACCACCGTTCAGAGGCGACGAGGAGATGGGCGTGCTCAGGTTCTGGCACATCTTGGGGATGAAGATGGAGACATTTGGCGACTGGTTTACGAGGTGGATGAGCAGGTTGTAGGCCGCAATAAACTCTGCGCACTCATTGTTAGCCCGGTGTTTTCTCCATCAGAAGGACCCCTCGAGTCATTGCTGGAGCCGTACCCTTCTCGGGCGCCTGGTTCAGTGCCTGGCTGCCGACGACGAGCTTCTTGAGCACATCGTCCTTCTTGTTCTCCTTGAGCAGGTCCGCGCTCTCGCCCTGGAGGTTGGCGCTCTCATCGCCCTGGGATTTTTTGAGGCTGTCGATGTATTGTGCGAACTCGTCGGTAAGCTCCTCGAAGGTGCCCTCGATGAGCAGCGTGGTCTTGGCGCCCGGCATGGTGAGAATAGTAGAGAGTGGTATCGGGGCAGTGTGTAGGCGGCGGGCGCAGGGGCGGGGCTGGTGGATTGTCGACAATGGGAGCGGCGTTGGTGGGATGCCAAGATTGGAGTTGGATTTTTGGGAAGTCGCTATCGATAGCCGCACAGACAAACAACACCAACAGCCAGAACCACTTGCTGCCTTGGACCATGTCACCTTACTTGAGTTTACTGTGTACAATTTCAAATCCTTGGAAGCCTCACAAAGTTCAGTTCGATATCGGTCAGCGTCCTCAAGGAAGCAGTGCCTTGTCCTGAACCGTGTCATCATCAAAGCCCGACCGCTCGAAGGAAAGCACTTACCATCATACAACGCAATCTCATACACACCACCTTCAGCTTCCGGGTGCACAGCTACGAAAGACCTTTCCATTAGCGCACTTCCATCTCTAACATCAAGGACGTTGTTATCCAAGATGAAGACCCCCCACTCTGCCAATTCTCCCTCAAGCACGTCGGTCGAACCCGGACGCAGTACATCGCTCATGTATAGGAGTTCGCTAGACTGATTCCGACTATGCAACACCACCTGTCGATCCCCATCCTCGGCCGCATGAAGCTCCCACGTGTTCGTTGCATTGTACTTCACGAGATAGAACTTGCTAGCGGCATCCTGGCTGTCGCTCAGCACGTAGGTGCGTATGTCCAAAGAACTGACTGGCAGAGACACCCATTGGCTGTCCAGGGACGGATCGTCGCTGTGTGCGATAGTCAGCGACCCAATATAGAAGATTTCAAAGGACTAGACGTACGATGAGGACCGCAGCTGATATAATTGGGTACCCGGAGCTGGGACATCAAGTTGGGCTCGTCTATCATGTGACCACGCCAAAGCCATGTCAGACAAGCCTATAGCAAGAGCGAGGAAGGACTTCATTCCGAGATTCAGCACTGGAAAATTGCTTGCGACGGATAGAAAGACACTCAAGTCAAGTGCCGATAACACGTATGTATAGTTTGCGGGGGCGACAGGGGTCGGAATGAAGGCCCCTTCAGCCTGCAACATATCAGCTTCGCTTAGATTCAAGCCTCATCTATAAACATCTTGCCTTTCTAAATTTCTCTTGGCCTGTACTCAACATGTTGCAGAAAACCCACATGTCGATAGCATGGCAGTAGTAGAGGGGCCAGACCACACCATGTCGCAGTGGGGCCTTTATGATGTTGTTCGTCGACTGCTCTCAGAAAATCACCATCTTCTGAGACGCTGATATCTATCACTCCTACTAAAAACGTGTCAATATGAAGTTCACGACAATTGTATCTTCGTTGGTCCTCGCTGCGTCGGCCACCGCGCAGACCACGCCCTCGGGTTTCACTCCTGCCACCAATGCAACGCTGGATGTCTACTATGGGACACAGTACATCAGTCCCGGTCTCATCGTTAAAAAATCAAGTATGAACCCGAGGTGCGAAGAAGGATGTGCCATACTCATGTAAAACAGCAACGGCAAAGGCCCCTGTCATCGGTCTCACCAACACAACACTCAGCGGAAAGTACCTGCTTGCAATGATCGGTACTCCCCCCTTTCATCATTAAAGACGCATCACACTGACACTGCTCAGACATCGATGTCACCCAAAACGGCCGTGCGTCAACCGTCCTGCATGCCCTTCTGCAGGATTACACGCCATCCGGCACCAAGCAGAACGGCACATCGGTCCTCACTACGACAGCCACAACACCTTCGTCGTACTTTGGTCCTGCGCCACCCGCTGGCGCGCCTCCCACTCATCGTTACGTATTCTTGCTGCACGAGCAGCCGGCAAACTTCGCGGTCCCGGCTGCGCATCAACAGGCTGTTAGCAGCCGGTTCGGCATTGACTGGCCAAAGTTCATTGTGGATGCTGGGCTCAAAGCCCCGATTGCTGGAAATTACTTGCAGGTGAAGAGTGGAGATAACACGAAGAGGTGGGAAGCGTAGGAAGAAGCTTGTTCTTCATTTTGAAGCGCAACACATTCCATTCAAAATGTACCTCCGTGCTAGATAGTATGCAAATGCAAATGCAACCCCAAAATCCCCAACCCCCGAATTTCAATGCCGATCCCTTCCTCCTCACTACCTCTGGTGCACACCCCAATCATACCGTGCAGTTCAGATTGTTTCCCAAAGTAGTCCTGAACACATCCAAAAGACACTGATGCGCGCGATCCCCATC